TTAAATACGATGCTTTATTTTACTGCAACTACCTTTGGATTTTATTTCAAGACATATTAAAAGCTTACGATTATATCAACTTCACCATGTTAATCAAAGTTCTCAATTGTTTATGCATTTCAGAAGCCTTTATTAAATTTTAATTTCAATCTTCTTTTCTCATTTTAACCAAGTTTTTATCACGTACGATAATACTGACACCTATTTAGTCCTTTTAGAAATTGACTAAAAAGAGATTATTTTTCTCATCCTTTGGTATATATATTATGATCTTCTATTATGTTTGATACAGAATTCATCTTATAGCTATACTTAACATGTCAATTAAAAAGCTAATATCATAAAATGAGAAATACAAAGTTTTCAAATCATGTTCCTACCTTCGCTTACATGAATGATATACTCTGGATAGCTAATTCTCAAACTGATTTTTAAAATATAATGATTATTGCAGACTCATTCTATACCTTAAATAGCATTCAAGTCAACTGAAATAAATCTGTGCTGATGATCAATGATAAGGATCCTAATCTTATTAATTTCAAATTCAATAACAAAGATATATGGCTTTTTTCACTCTTACATAATGAATTCACAAGATACCTAGGAGTATGAGTCTCCTTCTTTAACAATAATCAATTCATCATAAACCAAATTCAGGATGAATTTAAAAGAACCAAAACTGTATTCAACAAAAAAAAACTGACTGTCAAGTATATAATCACAATATTCAATATAATAGTAATCTCTTGTATATTATATAAAACCAAACTCATATTTGTTTCTCAGTCTACTTGTAACATTCTGATAACATTTTATAGAACTTTCTTCAAAAAGAAATTAGGTCTTTCAAGATTTGTACCAGCATTAGTAATATACTCAATATTTGAAGATAATCTTGCATACTTTTATAACAAACAAATGCAAATCAAATTATTTGATCTCTTAAAGATGATCAATGACATCTCAATTCTTGGATTAATATCAAACTTACACAATATACAACTTCAATTATTTGAATAGTTACCTTTATCCTTTTTAACCAATTGGCCTTATAATAATACAAAACTCTTTAAAGAATAGTGGTCTTACTTTCTATCTGCTGCATATTATGATGGTCTTCATTTTCAATAATATATTGACAAAGACTATAACTTAAGACAAATTGACAGAGGCTTTACTTCCATTTCAAAATTCCTTACTCTAAAATTTTACTAGCAAAACATCTTGTAATTACGTTCACTATCAATCTTATATGTTGACCAACACTTAACGATAGATGGTATCAATTTATTTACAGCTTTTGATCTCAACATGATATATGATTCTGTATTTTATAGTGCAAAATAATTTAACTAACTGGAATTAAAGATCTTAATCAATGAATCCACTAGATAATTGTCCAATAGATACCTTTCTCATGCATCTCTGATTAAAATACTAATACAACCAACCACTTTTATTACATTATCAACCAATCCAACTTTTGTAATTATTTGATCTAATCAGTATATGATCTTCATATTAAAAAGAGTTACCAAAGAAGAAGACACAATCATTTACGCATAACACTACCTACTAACTTAATTAGAATGTAACTGAATGTTTATTGCTTCTTATATTAGATATAATATATTTAATCACTTTGCTCTTATACCATACAAATAATAACAAAGACATAGTTTCTGCATTATTAAATTACTGAAAATATATTATTCTGTATTTAAAGTATTTTACAAACTTCGTAAGAGATAGTGATGTAACCTTTCCTACCTTACATTTTAAGAATTAACTTTATCAACTTTAACCTTCCCTTATCAATATCCAACTAAATCTCTGCTTAATTTAACAATTCTCTTTTTTGACTAAAATTCTATCAATAGATTAGATTAACTTAAAATACAGTTTACTAATGCTGAATTTCTCTAATTTTATACGGATAATTCTCTTACATCCTTAGGATCTTCTAACTGCTGGATAGGTATTGTGTAGTTATAGACTGATCAGAATTAGCTCTCACTTTTATTTAATGTTACACTTCTATTATATTCTTCTTCCTCAATATTGGCAGAGATAATTGCTATTCTTACTATTATTTATATGTTACTACACAATGCCAATATTAAAATCTATACTGATTTGCAAACTGTAATTATATTATACAATAAGATTATAACATTCTATAAGGTATCTCCCTTTCTCAACCCTGCATTCAAGATCTTCTACTTTCATATTTGGATGATTATGTTGCATCTTATAGCCATACACAATGTCAAATTAACACTTACTAAAGTCAAAATCCATGAAAATGATCATTTCAACAATCAAGTTAACCTCTTAGCTAAACAAGTTACTAATGCCCATATATACAGTCAACTCTTGTTATAACGAACTTTATATCCTAAACCTTAACTTCGCTATAAGACTATAGTGAAGATTTTAAGAGATTTTATTGGCCAATTCATTATAACAAGAGTATTTTTATTATATTTATTTAAAAAATTTGTTATATCAAGAATTTGCTATATCAAGAATTGACTGTACATTAATAATAAACACCTGGATTTCAAATATGTTCTATGTCACAATAATATACCAATCATTATACTTTCTTACTTATTTATCAAATACTTGCAACAAGCTTCTTGGGTTGAAGATTTTCTAATCCTTCTATATCTTACTAAGTATAGCAATTTTCACATTGATTGGCAAACCTTGTTTTACGTTCTTAACAACTCAGAAAATGCTAGGGTCACATCATTTGACGCTTGTAAAAGAAAACAGTTTAAACTCAAAATACTTTTACAACTACTTTTTACTTTAACAATAATGAATGCTCGATATTCTCTAACCTATGTTTTGAATAACTGTTTCTAATGCTGCTTCAATACTAAAGATTTTTATTACATTTGGATTTGTCTTAACAATACTAAACCTCTTAAAACTATTATTCAAGAACACAAACGTTCGTTTATGTCTCACTTAAAAAAACTTAATAGACTTAATAATGACATACCTGTCATCTATGTGGATTAGTTTCCAATATGAGATTACATCTCAAATAATAATAATTTATATTTAATTGACCTTTTAAAAGAGATAATTCCTTCATCTTTCACTTCATCAATCAACACTATCATAATGAACAAATAACTTACCCTTAGATTATTATCATTCCTATTTGATGATATATTTACATTAATCCACGATATCTGGCTGAAAAGATGTAATTCACTACAAGTATAGAAAACGTTAAACAACATTAAAGATGATTTCACTGTGGTTTAGATTTCCTTTAGTTTCTTTCATTCAGTACAAACACCTCCAATTAATCCCTTCTCATTTACAGCAGCCATCGCCTATAGTACTTACTGGTCAAATTTCTGGTACAGCAGTAATCATATTCTTCCTTTCAGATGTTTGATATCTGTATTTTAGTTTAGATTAGTTTTCTTTTCTTTTCTGATGTATAGTTTAGTTTGATAAAATGCAAGGTTGGTATTGATAAAGTAGTTTAGTTTACTAGATTAGTTTATAAATATTTTTGTATTTTCTATTTTATTTTGTTTTTCTTATAAATTCATAAATATTAATAAAGATTATGCGAGACTGCCGCACTTATAAAAAAAAAAAAAAACTAGAAAAAATTTTAAAAAATATATATTCAAAGAGAATTTTTTATATAATTTTTATTTACTTGAGACTGAATGAGTATATAAATTTAGAGAGAAAATACGTAGAAAAGAAGGAAATAGCTAGAATTTATTAAAAAATTAATAAATTTTAAAAAAAAATAAATTAATTTTTGCAATATTAATTCTTTTGAATAAAATTACTAATATTTTCAGGTTAGTTTAACAAATAATTATTTAGATTTAATAATTTATTGAAAAATGTTCAAATACATATTTATGATATCATTAAAATATATAATTTTTATATTATTACCTACAAGTCTTTTAACATCTATTACTAATTATACATAATTTTTTACAATACATATTTCCTTGGATTATATATTAGTGTCAAAACCAATTTTTAAGTAATATTGCAAATTACGTCAATCAGTATTAACTTTTGAACCAAAAATGATCGAATTTTTGTCATTCTGTTTTTGAAAGGATAAAAAATAGTGACAAATTATTATATTTGCACATAAAAAAGAAGACCGTCATGGGATTCTTACGCAGTCTTTCCCTTACGAACACGCAGTCCACAAAGTAGTCTGTGAAATGATACACTGCATATTAACACACCTCACACCAACACCATTAAATTATAAAGAATGATAATATTGCTTCAATTTTTCACCTTCCCAATTTCAGATAATATTTGCTTATAGATATAATAATTTGGAAACCAAAACACAAACGCGATCAATCGAATTTTAAAGCAATATGATGATAAAAAAAATATTCTAAAATATAAATAGGTGGTTTGCCATGTGAAATGATATATGTAAATCAACAGTTTTGGACAGTTTTGGACAGGGTTTGGACACATTTTCATATGTCCAAAACTTTATTAAAATCAACAAACCTCATCAACTGGATGTAATAAAAAGCAAAATAGATCTTATTTTCAGTTAAAATTTCCGGTAATTTAGGTTGAATTTTCATAATTTCGTAATGCCGTCTACAACGGCCAAACACGTATATCACGTGATAATCATTAAAAAACAGAGAAAAAACTGATAGGATCATATACGCAAAGCATATATGTATATATATTTTTTATATTTTTTTTTAATTCATGAAAAACTAAGAAGCAATGATTACATCCTGTTTGAAACTTAAATTGACAAATAAAAAAAATTGGTAAAAAGGTTGCAAACAATTACTCTATATCGCCAAATCCCAACCCACTTTAAAAAAAAAAACTATATATATTGTGTGTATATATTGTGTATATATATATAAGAAAGCCAAAGAAAAACTACATATACATGGTGTAAAAAAAAGGTAAAAAAGAAGAGATACATCTTTCTGAAATAAACAACCTTATTGAAACACGACCATAAAACGTGGCAGAGTAGCCTGAAAAAGATAGAAGGACGTATTTTTTTTTAATAAAAACAATAAAAATAAAATAAAAATATAAAAACCAAAGTTCGTAAACAAAAACTTTTAACGTAACTTACCGCATTTTGACTTACAATCAATATAGAATTGGCAGTTGGTGCCAAAACATCTACCATAAAAATAGCATTGGTAGTTCCTCCATTGCAATATCCCAAAGAAATCGAAGCATTGTTGGCAAACCACATTTGTCCATTATACTTTGAGAAAGTAGAAACATTTCCCTTAGAAACAATTCCACATAGTCCACAATTACTTGAACAAACTGGTGAAGGACGGTTAATATATTGAAGAGGATCACAAGAATGTTTAGTGCCATGAAACATTTTATGAGTAACTCTATTCAACGGCAAATTATTTTGCGTAGCAATTTGTTTCTTAAGATTTTGATGAGCATCAACCAAATTCTTGGGCATTTGAAGTCGAAAGATTCCTTTAATCTTAGCTTGAGGTAACATTGAAATGAATCGTTGATGAGCCCAAATGTGATCTAAATCATTTGCGTTTAATAAGCTTAACTTTGTGTTGGTTAATGTTGAACATTCTAACCAATAACAATTTTTAGAGCAAAAAGCATGAAACTTGGCCTTATTTTGGGGATCCGTATATACGCGTTTAGGACAGCTTGTTCGAGAACAAGTAGGTGCAGAAAGTGCATTTGAACTAAGATGTTGTCTTGCGCAACTTCTTCCACAATAGTCAAATTGAACATTATTTGGACCTATATACTTTTGTCGTGTACAATTTGGATTAAAACATGCATTCGATTTGCTGATAATGTTAGTGGCACATGTTCTTCCACAATAAGGATGCTTGAAACCACCTGTTTCAATGTATATTGACTTATTACATCCGGTACGTGCACAAATTTGAGGAGAAGTTGTTGGCATTTTTTTTTTTTTGAAAGAGAAAGAGAACAAGACAACACAAACAATGACATTTTACAAAATGACGGCTTTAAAAAGGGAATTTATATGTTCAAATATGTGTAACGATGGATGGTTACACGGTTACGACATTTCGATTATGTTATTATGTCCTAATTTAAACATCATGCAGCATCAAAAAAATATACTTTATTTTAAGATCGCAAGAATAATTATAAATGATGTAACCCACAATATACTGGGTAAGATTCGCGAGAGAGAGAGAAAAAAAGAATAATTCCTACAACAATTTCATCTGTATAAAATCAGAAAACGCGGTAGAGTAGCCTGAAAGATAAATAAAATTCATTATGACGAGAGAAAAACAAACAAAAAAAAAAAAAATATAAAATAAAATTTCGTAAAAAAAAGTCTTACCGCATTTTGACCTACAATCAATATAGAATTGGCAGTTGGTGCCAAAACATCAACCATAAAAATAACATTTGCGGAACCACCACTGCAATATCCTGAAGAGGTTGAGGCATGGTTTGCAAACCACATTTGTCCATTATGTCTCGAATAAGCAGTATTGTTTCCTTGAGTAACAATTCCACACAATCCACAACCATTCGAACATAATGGTGAAAGACGACTGAGAAATTGTAAAGGATCACAATTAGATTTAGTACCATGAAACATTTTATGAGTGACCTTGTTTAATGGCAAATTTTGTTGCTGGGCAATTTGTTTCTTAAGATTTTGATGAGCTTCAACCAAATTCTTGGGCATTTGAAGCCTAAAAATCGCTTGAACTTTAGCTTGAGGTAACATTGAAATAAATCTTTGATGAGCCCCAATGTAATCCAAATTATTTGCGTTTAATAAGCTCAATTTAGTTTTGGTTAATGTTGAACATTCTATCCAGTAACAGGTTGGAGAACAATACGAATGAAATTTTTTTTTATCCTGAGGGTCTGTATAAGCGCGTCTTGGGCAATTTGATCGAGTACAATGAGGTGCCTCAGAATTAAGATGTTGTCTCGCGCAAGTTTTCCCACAATAATTATATTGCATTCCTGTTGGATCAACATAAGCTTGTCGTGAACAAGATGGATTCTTACAACGTTGGGGTAACTTCAATTTGTTGAGTACGAAAGAGGCGCATGTTTTTCCGCAGTAGGGATGTACAAATCCATTAGTTTCGATGTACACTGGCTTGCTACATCCAGAACGCGAGCAAATTTGGGACATGGTAAGATTGGGTACTAAAGATGTTAAAAGATGTGTATTTAAAGGACAATTGAACTATATAAATTGATTAAAAGAATAATATAACAACGCGAACAATTAAGTAAAAAAATTTTTTTATTTATTACGTAGATGAGAAGGTCGAACAAAATTAATATTTTCGTTCGAAACCTAATGCAAAAGAAAAAAAGAAAATCAGTAAATAAATAATCTTTTAAAAAAAAAAAATTTAATTGTCTCGTAAAGATTAACTAATTGGGGGGGGGGGGGGGGGAGAAAATAATAATTCTAATGGTGAAGTCAATCTGCATATGATACTCACAAATTAAACGTATAAAATACTTCATCCGAGTTTGTAATGATTAAATTCTGTTGCAATGTAATGATTAATTGGGTTCTTTTGTTTGCTCACAACAGATTATTGCAAGTGAGTGACGCACGGATGAATATATAATTCTGTCATATGTTTGTGGCGCTTCGTTTTTTTTTGTTCTTTTCTCAAACATCTAGATTACGTTGGCGATGTGGTGAGTGCGAGTCGTGCTTATAGCAATTCTAATATCTTTGATCGCCTACGGGAAAAGCAAACACATGTTTCATTTTATGATTTAATGAATCAAAACGTAATAATGAACAATGGACGTGAACATAATGCAAACGGATTTAAATTGTTTACTTAATAAAAATTTAAAGAAATGAACATTTGATTCAGTAGACGATCTGTTATTATGATTTCAAAGGGGCTTTGATGTAATTTATTTAAAACAAGAACTTTGAAAAATTAACGAATTGACAATCACGTGAATAATTCAGTTTGAACATCGACACAATCCTCAGAAGGGATAGTAGAATAGGAAGAAACGTTTGAATTACGTAATGTATTAGGAAAGTAATTATTATTATTATTCGAAGGGGGTAAGTAAGCGGGAGGTGGATCAAATCCATCCGTAGGATCATAAGGACGAGTATTCATATTCATTCGAGAAGCTATATCATGATTTGCACAAGTTTTCCCACAATAAGGGTGAACTCTGCCATTTGCATCAACGAATGGAGAATTGTTGCAACCGACGCGTTTACAATTTTTGTACTTATAATCTCCGTATTGGCTTGCACAAGTACGTCCACAGAATGGGTGGCGTGTTCTATAATAAACGTTAAAATTTATTGAAAAATTCGCAAGAAATATTTCTTTATTTAAAGTCATTGAAAATTATAAATAATATGAGGTACCCGTTTCTTTCAACATAAATTGGACGATCGCATTCAGGAGCACTACAAGTCGTTTGTTCAGGGGTAGCTTTTTTTTTTTTTTAAAAAAAAAAAAAGAAAAGTAAGAAAAAAAAACGTTTAGCTTTTTATTTTATTTTATTTTATTTTATTTTATTTTTTTTACGAAATTTATTTACCATGACACATTTTTGAAATTGGGAGAAATTCAAAAGAAAATATAATTCAAAGGAACAAACAATAAAAATTCCAATATATAAGCAAATTTTGATGCCAAATGATGTCATTTATTTTGATGTGAATTTTGTAAATTTGATAATATTCGATCATATGAAGTTAATCAAACTTTTTTTTTTATACCTCTTTCATCTTTGAGTTATGAACTTACATTGATTTATTAAATGATGTAAGGAATATCTAATTATTGTTTTTTGTTTTTGGTTATTATTAAATTAAATACGCAATAATAATTTCATATTTGTTCACGGATTTTAAAACATCTTGAATCAAAGGGTTTTTCCTTATAATAATCATGATCGATTGGCGCAGTAACAAACAATTTTAAAAAACGGTATTTGAGTTCAATATATCTTTGATATTATTTCTTTTCCTAAAATAGAATGAATTAAAATCGTAACGTTTGTATTTGATTTGACACATAAGTAAGAATTTGAATTAATTCTACTCCCTCTTTACAATTGATATCCGTTTCAACCAATCATCATTTTTTTTCTCGGGCAAAAACGCGAAAAAAAAAGATTATTCTCTTTTTTTATTTTAAAAAAAAAAATTACCTTGGTTATGAATAAAAAAAAAATAAATAAAACAATAAAATAAAAATAAACATAAATAATTATTAATTTACTATAACGTGTCGTCGAATAGGACCAATCGCACGACAGAATCATCAGCTGATAGCTGACATACCCTCTTTCCATTTCATAGAAGGCCAAGGATTGATGAATCTATAAAAGAAAAATGAATGATCTTTTACCTAAAGTTAGTTTAGATCGTAGGAAAATCTTGAAACGATATTAAAATCTGTATCACAACGCCGATTACCTTTTTCCATATATGGGGAGGCAATATACCTCACGTTGGGAGGGGGGAGGAGGGGCTTACTCTTTATTTTTGATACTCGTATTGGTAACTTTTGTCGTGATAAAGAAAATTCGAATTTTCTATCTACAAAAAAAAAAAACAAAGGTTCTTTGCTTGTCTAAAAATATGAACTTTAGGTTTTGACAAAAAAGATTCATTAATTCAATCTCATGTTACACGTTAGCTAAAAAATTCTATTATGTATTATTATTATAATAATACCTTTTTTTTGAGAAACCCAATGACTTTTTATAAAAATTTTTCCGATTTTTTTTTTTTTTTTTTTTTTTTTTTTTTAAAAAAAAAAAACACAAATAAATATTACTTAAAAGATGTTGTGACATATTTATTAGTGGTTTTTTTTTTTTTTTAAAAAAAGATTTTGTATTTTATTTTTTCAATTTTTTGTTTATTAAAAAAAAAAAAAATTACAAAAATAATAAGTATCCTTTGATTTTTATTTACGAAAAAGTAAGTATACACATATTCCACTTGAAAGGAAATAACCACAATGATTTTTTTTTTTTTTATACTTCTCTAAGAATCAACTTTGGTTAATAACATTGAAAATCAACTTTGAACATACACATCATAAATCGATTGAAAGGGAAACGTCGTTACAATGGATATTACGGTAAATTGCGACGTCGAAAGTACCTTTCCCATAATAGCTATCGTAATATCAAGTATAGGCGTATTAGTTATAGGGTATCATGTATATAATAAAATAACGCAATTAAGGATAATTTTGTGAGTTATCTTTCTCAAATTCGCTTTTCGTTTCATAATTCCTTTCGGTTGACTTTTCTTTTCATTCTTTCATAGTTGGATAATTTGCATGTCAACTACTTTGGTGTCGATTATAAATTTAATATGGTTATATGTGGGCTGCGTGAGTGAGCCCATCATTTACCATCTGATCTATTTGATTTTTTCAATGATATACCTTATTTTAGGTAGGTTGTTCTTTCTTTTACCTTTAGAACTTTTTTTTTTGTAAAAAAATTTCTTGATGCTTACTTTTGCTTCGCCACCGAACTTCGTTGCTGCGCCTTAATCGACGTCTATAGTGGTATGGTGTTTTCTCGATTTGGGAAAAAAATTCTATCCGACCAATAAATGGAAAACACCGTTATACAACATAACGATAATAGGATGTGTGTTATATACAATAGTAATAATCACACAAATAACGCTATTAATCCTAAATAGTGATGAAATCAAATACTCGAGGGCACCACATGGGATGAGTTATATCACGGTATTAATATCATTGACGTTAGGAGCAATCCTAATCGCGTGCTCGTTTCTATATACATTCAAACCGATAATTCGGTTACAAATTAGATTCAATAATTCAACCAATTCTCATGATTCACCTTCAATCAATCCACAAAACATTATAGTTGGATGGTGGTATATGACTACGTCGGGTTTGATCGCTATTTCTTACTTCATATTTTGTATATTAAATACGACAAAAGGCCCTAGAATATTTTATGACCCATTATCAAATTCAATCGATTACATTCATAGGACTTTATTCATCCTAGATGTTTCCATGCCGCCACCTAAATGCTTTTTAAATTTTGTCAAGTCGAAATTCCTTCCCAGGGATTTATTTATTATACCGAATTCTAGCGTTAATTCTTTTGAAGATTTTGTTTTAGAAAATACCACTACCAATCCTGATAATACTAATTCTAATATTGTTTTCAACAATCATGGGGATGTTTAATCGATAAACTTTCATCTTTTCATGTATATCTATTACTTGATGCAAATTTCGATTAAAACAATTAAACAAAGTTCTATCATACGAAATTTGCAGGATTTCAATTATTTTTTTATTTCAATTTATTTTATATTATTTTTTTTTTTTTGCAATCCAAGATTTAATCAAAATACGCCTCTCCTCCACCACCTGAATTTATTTTGTTTATTTTGAAAAAATATATTAGAATATAACAAAAAAAATTTTATCAAAAAAAAAAAAAAAAATTTTACCATCGTCATCAAATGCATCATCCGCCTCTCCATTATCAAAGTAACTTTCAACATAATCCGTAGCATCCCCATATTCTTCGTCTTCCTGAAATGGTTCTATCTCGGCATATTTTTCTATTTCATTTTCAACGACATGCTATATAATTCATGTATTAAAATCATACCTGATATTTAAACTATGCAGAAATTCTGAATCAAATGGGTTATAAATACCTCTACATTTTTAGCCTTTTCTTTATTTTCTTGTTCTAGCAATTGTCCAAATGTCAAATCAAAATCAAAATGAACCTTCCTTTGAGTTTCTGTAAAGGAAAAAAGAAATGTTAATAATAATAATAATAATGTAAATGATAAATAATTGTTGATAAATTTATAATACCATTTGTAGAAATTGTTGCTATTATTGAATCATCTTTAACCGTATGTAATTCATGTGGGAAGAATGCCAAATCTACATGTTTTGATCAACTTTTCATTATATAATAATTTTTAATAGTTCCTAAACTGCAAGGACTCAAACCTGTCTTAATATCTCGCAATGAATGTTTTGTTTTCTTTTTTTTGAATTGATCAGAATATCGTTGAATATCTTTTTTTTTTAATAAAAAAAAATAAAATTTGTCATTTATAAACAAAACATTTGATTTTTATAATAGAATCATACCAGGTGGTGGTGGTGGTGGGGTTATAAAAAAAGCAGAATCTTTGAGAGCTGCTTTATATCCAAATAATGCATTAAGCATTTTATGTTCATCTTCGGAGGGTGGTATTGGTTCTTGAAATTCAATTCCCTATACAATTTCGAATTTGAGATTTAACTTCAAATTATAAAGTTGATTAAAAGAGCTATTTTAGTTGAAAAGTATATGGTGAAATACAGCTGATGTGTCGTTTGAAAGAGTTTGATGTAATAAGGCCTGTAATTCACTTGAGAAATTCGGTCGACCAAATCCCGACCCACTTCTTCCACCAAAACCACGACGTCCTCCCCCTCTAGCTCTATTCATCGTTCTAACAAATTTAACCGATGAAGAAAATGATGGATTAAATAAAAAAAATATTTCTGATCCTTTAAAATATATATATTGTAAACAGAGAGAATGAAGAAAAAAAGGGATTTAAAAAAAAAATGTTAGAATAACGTCGTCTATGTTTTTTATCAGCCAATCAAATTATAGATAAATAAGGTTACAAAATCTCTGATAAAAATTTACTATTTTTTTTTTTTTTTTTTTTATTACAATATTATTAATATTAATTACAGTATATTATGGGATTATTATTTTCTTTTTTTTTTTTATTTTTTATTTTATACAATGAATTAATTACAATTATATTTGCTTTTTTAAAATCAAACGCAAAGATCATACCTTCTATATAACTTTTATCACATACCTCCTCAATATAGTAAGTCCAATGGCATCAATTTCAAAAGGGTTTATTAATTTTGCTCGTAAATTTCCAAAATTTAAAATTTTGAACGTGAATAATCAAATGTTGAGATAATGGTAACTTGGTGAACTATTGATTTTGTTAAGATAAATGCTTATCATGAACCCAAATTAATTTCACTATTATTCGTAGGTATAAAAAAATCTCTTAAATTGATTTTAAAATCATAGCTACAGCAACAGAATAAAGAATAAACGAGATACCATAAATTGATATTCGAAGCAATTAAATAAAGACTGTAAGAAATAATGTTGTAATCGAGATCAAAAAAATTTCCAACAACGATTCCTATTAAACAAAATTATCTGCTATTCCTATTCCGTATAGATACGAGTGGTGTGGATGATTAATCGATTGTATAATTCTCTCTAGAACCATACTTGCTTAAGAATAAAAAAAGAAAAAGAAACATTTATTTAGAAACTAATAAAACATTAAACATTAAAACGAGGTAATGGTACAATGATACAACGATCAATAAACAAATAAAAGAAGTCAATAATATGCTGTGATATAGATAGGGGAAATTAAAAAAAAAAAAAAAAAAAGAAAAAAAAAACAAGTAAAATGTGTACATATATAAGTAAGTCGAATAAAGTAATTCACAACAATGAAGATCAATAATCATCGATACCATCACGTTTCTTTTTAGATACGTGTCAAATGTTCTTATAATCATTAACGATGTCCCGTTAATCTTATAATGAATGTGACGTTTGTTAAATATGTCCTCGATTCTCGAGAAATACATAGTTGATATAATCGTCAACCAAATAGAGTAGGATCAATTTCCATAACATGACTAATAAAGTCCATATAATATCCGAACCCTTGTTACCCTATTCATATTTCGAATCATTGGGTTACAAAGTCGGAATTTAGTCATCAAAATCTTCCCATTAAGGAAAAAAAAGTTCATAGTGATAACGAACCTTACATCATTTTGTCAATCGTCGCGTTGACAACGTCTTTGATAAAATCTTAAATGACCCTCTTCAGGTGCATTAACCTCGGGTATAACCTTCCTAACTCTTTCAAAAGATTCCATCCTGGTATATACCGCACGATATACACCAAGATATTGTAACGTTTTTCCCAAATACTGTACTACAAGCTCCAGATATTCATCGGTAATACATTCACATCCGGACAGCGTTAACCAGGTCAATGGTGCTTTACAATGTTCCAAAAATGATTCAAATGCAGTCGTTGTAAACTGCCATTCAGATGAAATACAAAGTCTCCGAAGACTATTAGGTATTGATTGCCCTATCGCGGGTAAGAATTTTTCGGCGTCCAAGCTTGCTCCGTATATAGATAAGCTTTCAAGATGCTGCGAATTGCTCAAAAGTGAACAGATCGCAGATACCTCTTCGGTACCATGAATCTGATTTGATTCAAATTTGGTGATATTCGGGCAATGGCTTACAAGGGCTTCAATGACTTGCACTAAATATTCAGAACTTTGCGTGGAACACAAAGTAACTTCAAGCAAACTTGTATTAGCATTACTCGACAATGCCGACACGATATCAACAGGAAGATCAGAATTTGAAATATTAAGCTGTGATAATCGAGGTAATGATGAAGTTATCAACGGGGCGCACATCTCACTAGTTAATCCATCACAACCATCAAATTCCAATATTTCCAAATTCTTGCAAGCACCGATTCCATAAAATGGTGGATGACCTTCAAAACGAACGTAACTCAATTTTAAACGCACCAATGACTTTGCTTGACTTTCCAAAGCTTGAATGATTCTACCACCAGTATCATGACCATAATAATCCCCATGAAGTTCTAAATCTTGCAAATTATTTTGGGCTTGAATGAAATCGACCAACCCTTCCGCTTCAGCTTCAAACTTTTCAATATCTCTACATTGCTTTTCGGTATCCCATTCATATATAGGTAGATATGTCTTTAATTGGCGTATACCATGACAGATGGAAAATTTCTCAAAATATTTACGTAATCTTTTCCCGGTAAGAGTTAACCGTCGAATGTGCGGTAAGCAAGACTCGGCCCCCGGATAAGATGTAATATCATATTTCTCTAGTAAGCAAGTAGCATCACAAGAAAATCGATATATAGCGGGACAACGACTTATAAAAAGTTTTAGAAGCAATTCTGTTAGTATCCAACGACCTTCTGCACCTATACATTCGTCTCTTCGAAGGTTACACCACCACCACAAGTGGTGATATAAACCGCCAATGTGAAGAACACGCCGATATTTAGCATAATCGAATGTTGGAGGTGTCTCGGTAGAAAGGGGAAGGTTTAGACCGTTGTCATTAAGTATTTTTTTTTCTTCCTCACTTAAACAAGCTATATATACTTCGACTAACTGTTTAGACATGTATGCATTGGGACTTCTCCATAAGATCGGTACGACTTCCTGACACCAGTGTCGGTTCACCAAAAGACACGAGTGTAAAGAAGGTTTATCCTCCTCAATACATTCAAATATTTTTCGAAGACAGAGATTTGGTAAGGAAGAAGCCATATTTTTAATTTATCATTCGTTATGTTTTTATCGGTTGATAGAATGTGAAGAATTTCAATATTTCAAGTTAAATCATGTGAAAAAATGGTTATAATGTCGCGTCATTTGATTGGGTTATTACCAAATTTAGTATTTTGTGATAAAATCATGAGACTTTTTTTTTGAATATTCTACCAAACCAAATTTGGAATGATTGGCTGAAGTACCTTCCCAGTTATATCAAAATTACACAAACCGATTGATTTCAGGTTTTCCATAAATTTTGTTGAACTCAAAAAAACGTTCTTCGTTTGAGCAGTGCGTGAACTCTTACGTTCTTTTTTATATTTAGACAACTTGGATCTTTTATAAATCAGCATGAGCCAACATGGTAAATAAGTTTCTCGTTGTTTAAAAAAGAATCAGCAACCCATTTTTTAACCTTTAATATCCCTTAAGTTAAGTTAGAACATACGGAAAGTAGTGCACAACATATTCGGGATCTTGAAGGCATCGAAAAAGTAAAAATTTTCACGTTATACAATCTTTGTGAAATTCGGGTTATAGGTGGAATTTTATTTATTTATATATATTTTATGATTTCATTTTGATGGTATAAACTTTATACTTTATAGATGATTGTTGAACTTATGGACACGGCATCTAGATCGATTATGAGCTTAGTATTGGACGGTCACGTCAATAATAACGATGGAAAGACAGAAACCATGGCAAATAGACTTGGTCCTGAACAACGTATTGAGAGTTTTCAAGATTTGACGAAACAATTTAGTGAATTGATAGATGTGAGCGAAGGAATTCATTATCTGTTGTCCAAAGTATTTATTTTTTTTTATTGGTTAGGTGAAGTTAATCATGTTATTTTGGCACTTTCTTACGTTTAAGAAAATACAAGTTGAATTACGTTGCAAATTTCGTCAAATGCGAAACATGGGAATAACTTCTGGAGACATTCCAATTAGGACAGTTACCTATGGCGAAGCCAAAGAATATGAGACTTGGATGAACGCGGCAAAAATTTTAAGAAAAGAACTTGAGAAGATTGTGGAGATTGGAACCGTCGCGGGAGGGCTGCAAGATATGAAAAATGATAATATGGAAATCGATGAGCCATATAGGGTATTATAAGGCAAGGAATTATGATACGGAATCATGTGATTAATGTCTGGTAGATTATGTCACATGATTAGATTTACAACCTTTTTTTTTTTTTTTTTATTTATGTTGCCATTATAAATTACCTAATAAAAGTGCTAAAAACCCGGGATTTGGGATATGTAATCATAAAAGCAATCCTTAACATCGCAAGGGTTCATTGTTTTTTTATACAATCTACACTTATGTAGTCACAGTGACATTTGCAAGTGATAAAGTTGGTCCTTTTTTTGTGGAAAAACATAATCTTCGTTAAAAAGATGGAGAATTCCTGGGAGAATCAAAAGGAGGCCGCCTACTCGAATAAAGATTGATTCAAAGATAACAGTAAGGATGTTTTTTATTCTAAAGTGAACAGGTTTCGTTGAGAAAGGAATATATTTGCTAAATGAAAGTGGGATAAACCGGAATGCGTGGCAGAGATTAAAGATTAGGAGAATATTATAGCATAATATAAATAAATGTGGCAGATTGTTTAAAATAAGTCTAAAATTCCGGATTTCCTTCCTGATTTAGGGAGAGATCATCAAAGTGAATGTTGTATGATAATTGATGTACAAAAAAAATAAAAGTGTAAAGAAAGAACGTGAGAGATGGCTGTGTACAACTTCCGGTGTTTTTAGAAATATGTGGCATAGTTGTACTTTTTTTGGATTTATCAACTTTATAGAAAGGGATATTATCTTCCTGACTTCCCGCAGAAGCCAATTGTAAATTTTCTTTTCTTGAATTTTTTTTTTTTTTTCGGTTTCTCCTTAAATAAATTTTAAATAATAAGATTCCTCTAACAACTTTCTTTATTACCCCAAAGTGAAATGATTTCAAATAAACCCCCCTTTTATTTTTACAATTTTATTTTATTTTAGAATTAAAGTAATCTGCTTTAATTGTCATATCTGAAATTTGTCGTACATTACTTGACCTCAAAAAGCTCAACAACTTCCACAATGTAAAAAAAAAAAAATTTTTTTTTGATCCTGCTCGGTTAAAGAAAGAAAAAAAAAAAAAAAAATCTAAAGATTTTATTTGTTAATGATGATATAGTATGACAGTTTGTACTCAATTTTATAATATTTAATTTATAAATTATTCTTTTATATATTGTTACATCAATAATTTTCAAAATTTAAGCAACTGGTAACCCCGACCGAGTTCTGACTTAATACGGAAAGTAACTGCATGTTGTGACGTTGCACATCACTTTTTCAACCAATCAAATTGCAAACAGTAAAGGTTTGGAGACAGCATGAAATCATTTTCTCTTTTGAAAGAGGCAGGCTTTTGTCCTTGGAAAAAGAGCACACACACAAGCCTTCCGAAACGTCCGTCCAGTATGTTCCAAACCAAAACCCCTCACAACATACATAATAAATACTACCATACAAATGAATTACGTCTGCGTTGCAAAAAATAATCTATCGAATTCATTTGGGACTTAACCCCCCCCCATAAAAAAAAAATTTTCTTCCCACAGATAAAAAACTTTACTCACCTCTCTTAAGTCCCGTTGTTCCCTTACACACCCGAAGATTGTTGGGCGCACTATCTGCTATATACACACTGCACCAACCATAAATACATACAACTATAAAAATACTATTGATACTATTATAAACCACTTAAAACCCCAATCAACCTTGTTTTGTTATAAAATAAGGTCTGCTTACTACTACATCTTACAACCCCCAAAAAAAACTCTTCCTTGTTGACAGTCGATTACCTTTCTCAATAACCTTTTGCCGTTAACATGGCTCAATCACATTCACATTCATACTCCCACCCACACTCTGGTCGAGGAAGACATACTTCTTCTTCACATGAAAATGGTGCTGTCACTCAGGAACACTATCAAAAACTTAAACGCAAAGTTCGTGATATGCGAAATGTAAGTAGCTTTTATATTCATATAAGAAGTATTAGATCGCGAAGAACGAGTATTTTTCATGAGAAATATAAGATATTCAATGAAGTTACTCTACGTTATACTTAAAAAATATTTATTCCTCTTTGAAACTTATATTATTATTATCTTTCGAGCGTTGTACTTTTGGTGTTACCGCCACGACTTCGAGAGTTTATTATTTTTTTTTTTTATGACAATTATCAATTAACTTATCGACTTTGATAGTATTACATTTCTTCTTTTATTATTCCGAAAAAAATATTTATGCTAGATATCATGTCTTACCTTGTATAACATAAAATTGTTTCATTAGTTTACTAATATTCATGTTCATCATTTTATTTTAATTAATACGATTAGGAGTATGACAAATTAACTAAAGAACTTGAGAGATCTCGTAAAAGAATCAAATCCTTGAAGAGAGAAAAAGAGTGCGTGTTTTACACATGATTATTTGGATTAGTGTTACCTTCAACTTTAAATATCTAACCTTTCGTCTCTTCACCTTTTTTTCCTTTGCTCGAAAGATTATTGTTAGATCGCATTAGCCAATACGAAAATTCCGATAGCTCTGATTCTGAAAAATCTGTTGATCTCTCTTCAGATGCTACATCAGACTCAGATGGTAAGTTAAATTTGAAATACCTTTGAACAATTTTTTATTCTTTCTTTTGGTTGAATGTTTTATATATATATATTTATATTTATTTATTTATATTTTTTATTTATTTATTTTAATAGGTTCATCCACACAACTTTCTCAAGCTTCTTCCGTTCGTCAAATCAAAAAAGCACGTGGTCGTCTTACTAATAAGAAGCTATCCCCTCCAACGCCTGCTAATAACATTGTTAATTCTGTCCCTATTACTCATACTTCTGGCAAGGTCCCTAAAAAACGCGCAAGCAAACGTCCATTGAATGCAAAGACGATGAAGGTTCAACACGTTGAGCAAGATGAAAAAGGCAATTATAAACTCCCCGTTCAAATCGGTATATTGACCGTTTTAAATCTCGGTACAGTAGTTTATGATCGTGATACTTTCCACAACGAAAGATACATTTGGCCTGTTGGATATGCTGTCAAGAGGTAAATATTCGTGATTACTTCTCATTATATTCGTATTTTATTATTTATTATCAACCTTTTAAGTTAACGTATATTAATTCTTTTGATTCTTTTCGTTTCTTAAATAGGGCTTATAATAGTATGATTAATCCGAATGCTCAGACGATGTACGTTTGCAAAATTGAAGATGGTACCGAAAACCCCAAAGTAAGAATAATTTTTGTTATCGACTTTCTGATACCAACGTCACCTCTGCGAAATTATTAGCTTATGCAATTCTTGTATTTAAAATAGTTTGTTATTGAAGCAGAAGATCAGCCTAACAAACCAATCATCGCTAATACGGCGACTGGCGCCTGGACGACGGTTGTCCGTGAAGCAAACGCAATTCGTCAACGTGATCACTCAAATTCGGCTTCTGGACCTGATTATTTCGGTTTTTCGCAAGCCACGATTAGAAAAATGATACAAGATTTGCCAAATGCTCAGAGATGCAAAAATTATGTGATGCAAAACTTCGAGGTCATGAAAAACAGAGTCGCCGGTGGACGACGCCGAGGTGCAGGAACTCGAGCAAACGGAAATGTTAGAAATGGTACTGTCGGTTCACCTGCTTCTGCTATTGCACAGTCGCGTGAGGAGAATGGTGTTGAAACTGCCAGTAGTGGGGACGTAGTAATGTCCAACTCAGCAGAGGGGGAGGAAAGCGAAGAATAAGGAATTTTGTTTAAAAATTTTTTTTTTTGTTTCTTTTATTATATCAAGTCCAGCACATTTCGGCATGCCGATTCTGCTACCAAGGCAACTTATTCTTACCTATATATATATTTTTGTTTTATGTAAAGTTTCCATAATATTATAAATATCAATACCATA